TAAATAAATTAAATAATAAATAATACCTAAATATATACAATTAATAATATAATAATTAATAAAAATACATTAGACCAAAAATCAGATCAACTATGTAGTAACATCAGTTTACTTCCACAACCTACCGAAACGTACTAAACATATATTCAGTGTATAATAATAACCAAAATAAATGAGAGCAGATATGTTGTAGTGCACAAACATACTGAAAACTGCTCATCATATATTCAACATTTTGGTCAACTATATTCAACATATTCCGCTCAGTAACTCAGTCCGAGGATAAAACTAAAGGCTGGCCCAACTCAAGATGACGCACTGCAATTTAAGTTGCTAAAAAAAAAGCCAAGATGTAACCAGGAAGTGGATTATCTTGTTTTCGTAATTGTTTGAAGACAAAACCGTGATTGAAAATGAACTGAGACTAATCGCCCAGCCCTAGTCCATCCCAAGAGCGTAATAACCCGTACAGAGCTGAAACAGTAGATTTTACACTATTTTTATTGTAATGATATTTTTCAGGTGGGGCCGTCCCCAAGTCAGGATTGTCAAAGTCGCCTCAAAGCTGCCACACACCATACACCTGTACATGTCTCATTATTAGCTAAAAGTGTACCATTGAATTTCTTTATTCATAATCTGTCTTCAAAACTGCAGGCCACACACAGCTGTATCTACGCACCTCCCCCTGCTTGTTTTGTGTGTGTGCTGTAACATAGCCATAAAGTGTATTTCTCATCCTACTGTGCCTGTATTCACTCTTAGTTTCAGGTGATCATACACTGATGAGAACATAATTGTGAACATTATATTCCATTTCTGCCAGTAGATCCCTGTAACTCCTACACGCTGGTCCTTTAAACAATGAATAAGTTGAACTGCAAAACTGAAAGCAGGAAGAGAGAAGAGAAATAGGACAACATGGAGTGTGGTTGGAGTCTGACTGACACAGAGACGGGGCTACAGAGAGATGGAGCGATGGCTCACCGAGCGAGAGAGGAAGAAGAACAGTGGGGGATGAGCTGGAAGGGTCGGCCATCCATCACTGAAGTTGAGGTCATTAGTCTATTTACAGAGAGCTGGCACTGCGCTTCCACTTGTCATGTGGAACCAATATTTAATTAAAGCTGAACAGGGGAGGCTAATTGGGACGGACCTGCCCTCAGGGGGGGTTTAGAAACATCTGTCACACTGTGGGCGTCTATCTCACAAACTAACCTGTCACTTTTATCTTAAAGTCCCTCACCTCAGCTGCACAACAACTAATGATGAATGATAAATTGTCATATTTCGGATTGGAGACTGGTGTGACATTTACTCCGTACAAATTTAAGTACCATTGGTATCAGCTATTGGCAAGTGTGATGGAAACATATTGGCATTAGCCTTAAAAGCCAATACCATTAGAACCCTGTATAGGTCACATGGGGGGTAGAATGATACACAGAGATCAGCTTACAGCTCCTCACTGCTGTGTTTGTGCCAAAGATTACTGTGTTTGTTAAACCTGTTTAGTTTAGTAAGAAACGGCAGCGTGCTGTTTGCTGAGGGTCCACTGAGATGTTTGGTCGGCGGGACGTTTAAGTGAGCTCGGTCCTGTGTTTGATCAGTACCAAGGACCTGGTGGCTGTGGGTGTTTAGGTTGTTTCAGACCTCAGTCTGGACTTTTTTTTTTTTTTTTTTTGGGGGGGGGGGGGGGGTGGGGGGGGAGGGGGGGGGGGGGGCAAGTGCCTCAGTATCACAAGCCTGGGCGTGCCTGGTTCAGCAGCAGGACCACAGGAACAGAAAGTGAAAAATCTTTGAGCTGTGACTTTCTGTCCTGAACTTTCACACAGGTTGACTCACCTGATGAGGTTCCCACAGAACACTCATAGGAATGTCAGGATATAAGGCAACACTTCCTAGCTGCCCTCTTCTCTAAAACATGTTGCTATGAATGCAGTGTATTAAGTGATGTCAACGAATATTGTAATATGTAATGGAATTGTAAAAAAAAACAAAAATGGAGGAATTTGATCGTGGAAATGAATATTGGTTTGAGCGAAGGTGGAAGATAAAGGTAAACGTGTGAGCGGGCTCGTTGTTGGGTTAGCCTCACTTCATTTCCTGCTGTTTGTTTTGTCAAGTTAGCATCACTAGTAACACTTACCTGCTAACAGAGCAAAGCTAACAGAAGGAGATGACATAGTTCAGCAGAGATACACATACCGCAACACACATGCACACACACACACACACACGTGCGTGTGTGCGTGGGTGTGTGTGTGTGCAAACTCTAAACAGTCCATCCATCGGGGGAGCTGGCCGTTTTCTCTGGGCTGTAGGAGACACAGAGGCAAAGTGTTGCTCATAAATCACACAGGGACAGAGTATCATCCATAACATGTGCAAACACACACTGGGGTCAGACTGAGGGGTTAAGAGGGAGTGAAGACTGGAATCCACCGGGCTGTCTCACCACGTCAACACGAAACTGATGGAATACATAGTCCATATGTCCTGTGTTTAAGGAATGAATGAAACCTTTCATCCTGCAGATGTTCTCCCCCCCCTGCAGGTGGCTGAGCTGAAGGGGATAGAGAGCGAATCGATATCTCTATCCATACAACAGTGAATGCAACAGCTTAAAGGGAAAGCATATTACTGCAAAACTGACTCACCCTTTGTTTAAGTATTTTTACTCTTTTTTTTTTTTTTTGTACTTCTGACATCTGCTGAATTATTCTGTAGGCTTTTAAAGCGGAGGGAACATCTGATGATCATTTCAAACGGAAAACCTCCAGCTTTAAGCTTCCAGGCTGCGAGCACATGCTGTATGGCAACAGAGCTTGGCAACTTTGTACATATTTTTATAGTTGTCCAGAGAAGCTTGATTTATTCGAACGCACATCTCTGTCTGTTTGCAACACAGATATTCAGTCAAGAAATATACTTGATATTCTTTCACATACTTACTGTCACTTCAAGGTCAAGTTAGTTTTCTGTTATTGCTACATAAAAGACATATATCATAGCAACCACCAGTAATAAAAAGCTTGACTGTAAGAAAGAGAAAACAGAGTCAACAACTCACTAACAAAGTTCTTCATGGGATCGTGGGAGTTGTTGTCTCCAACACCATTACTATAAGCTCCTCCCAGTTTGGATTCCTTCAGTGTCAGTGGTTCAGGAAATCAAACAGACCTGGTGATTCTAACCATTAAAACATTGACATTTAAAGTCAGAGTTAGAGCGACGCTGTACGGAGGACAGAGACTCAGGGAAGAGCTGGAGCTGAGATTGATGCTAACCTTTGTTCTGATTGTTTCTCTGATAACTTATGAAGCAGACGTTCAGCAGGTTTTTACCAGCAGCTGAATGATCCACAGAGGTGTCCTCCTCTCTTCAGTGACACAGGACAGGACGTCTCCAGCAGCTGGGAGCTGAGCTGTCTAACATTTCCTCAGCTTGTTTCTCTGATAACTTCAGATCCAGACGTCCGACGACTAAAATCCTTCATCTGCTTCAAATATAGAGCTGAAAACCACCAAGGTGGAAAAAGTGTATGTGGTTTACAACTAGATAAAAGTCAGTGTTGAGCTTCTGTCAGACAAACACACTGACACATAATCATAGAGGATATGATGTCATTGACAGGCGATCCAATGAAACGGAGCGTTACCATGATTAAAATCACAGATTTCTCTGGTTTGAGAATTGATGGAAACATTTGTGTTAATGTAAGAACACAACTCAACAACATATAGAACACAGGTCTAGTTGTTTTAGACATTTGAATGTGGAAAAGTTACGAATCATTACTTTAAGTGGGAGTTCATGAGCTCATAGTTCTAGTTCAAATGAAGCCACTGAAACATTGACACGTATATGATGATGTGAACTCATCAGTTTCTGATAAACTGAATCAGTCATGAATCATCTGTTTCCAGGTTTTACACAGTTACACAGCTTTCTGTAGCCCTGCAGGTCTATCCACCGGTTCTTACAGAGACTGCCGGGGCAGTGGATAATTCCTGGAACATTTCCACTCGTTGTCTCCTGTGTCAGTGTAACTGTAACTCAGAAGTAGAGTTCAGTATAACATGAGAGGCACCTTCAGCTCTGATTTCCTCTTCTGTGATTGATCTGAAAGTGATTTCCACTTTAATTAATATTAAAATGTTTGGTAACTTAAAAAATACACTGCCACCCCCCCCCCCTCAGGCTACTGTGTATCCACCCCGGCTTGGTGTTTTGTCACAGATTGTTAGGGTAGCGGCTCAGAGTGGTGTAGAGGTCTTGCTAGGACAAGCAGGCTCCCTTCCCTCCAACCAAACACTCCTCCAACGCCGCTTCATGAGACACGAGCCAGATGCTCAGCCATTAATCACAGCATTGTGTGTGTGTGAGAGAGCGTAGGCAATGTGTATGTTTGGAGTCGCTGTGTTCTTTGTGGAGTAAATGTTAACTGTGTGTTTGTGTGGCTGATGTGCCCTTAACATCAGCATAGGACGCACAGAATGGAAAGTTGGCACGGTAAAGAGAGAAAAGGGATGGGATGTTTATATGTAAGGGAAGCGTTTAGCGAGAGGGACGGAGGAGGAGTGGATGAATGAGGCTGGTGAGGGAGAGAGTGAGCAGGAGGTGCAGAGGAAATGTTTTATTCCCTCTATCTGAAAGCTTTCCTCGCTGGCAGACGAGCTCCTGACCTTTTCCCTCACAGACAATGAATCTACTTTATTTTCTCTGCTTCAGCCCCGTCCCTCCAGGCCCTGTATGTGTGTGTGTGTGTGTGCGTGCGTGCGTGCTTTTGTGTATGGTTTTAATGCTTCTATGTGCTTGTCACTGAAAGCATGGATGCGTAACATGTGGCCAGCAGGCCGCCGTTCTGCTTGCTGTTCTTATGTCAAAATAAAGACTCAACACTGAACTTAAATTGCTTCTTTTTTTTATAAATATGAAATACACCACACTGTACATACACACATTTAATACTGTTGAACTTGTGTCTGTGTCCTCAGGTGAATCTGGTCTTGGGAAATCGACACTCATCAACTCTCTGTTCCTGACTGACCTGTACTCTAAGGACTACCCTGGGCCGTCCCAGCGCATCAAGAAGACTGTGCAGGTGACTGCTTCTTCAGTCTTTAGCTGAATTATACCTCTCCCGCAAAAATGATCAGGTATAAGCAAGTTTTTTAAACAGGGGTCAATCCTGCTAATAAAAGCTGATTGATGCCTTTTCCACTTCTGGAGTTTGTCTTTCTGTTTCGGACTGAGGACACACACGACTGCGAGGAGTGATGTCATCACATGCACTTACAGAGCACAGACACAGTGGAGAGAGAGTGAGCCTCTAGCCGCCGTGCTCACTGGTAAAACTGATGTGTCATGAGGGAGGTGTAACCACAGTGTTTCTGGTTTAACAGCGCCGTGCTGAACAGGTGACAGGTGCGTTCACAGTGTCTGTGCGTCTGTAAGACGTTACAGCAAGAAAAGTGGGGGAAAATTGGCAAGTTCACCTCGAGTGTTGTGTCTACATCACTGCTGATCGGAGCCGGAGCCGATAAATACCTGCGTCTAACTGCAGAGTCATGTGACCCGAGTGTGAATGCCAATGATTCCCTTTTCCATTGTCGACAAAGGCCTGATGTTGCCAAGTCATAGTGGGGTTTTTTGACAATAAAAAAAAGGGGGGCTTTATAGCTTCATAAGGCCCTGATCAGACAGGATGTGGTTTTTAGACGGTCAGAGCACCCCAACATCAAATCTAGCCAGAGTGGAGGCCTGGGAGACATTGGTTAGTGTTATTCTGTCCAGCGTTACGTCGCACAATCAGCAGGTCAGGGGCGTAATATTTAACCAGAGAGGTGCAGAGAGATGCTGTGATCTTTGTCGCTGCCAATGTTCGAGCTGTCCGATCTCAGGCTCCAACATGACTGTTTTGAGAAGTTACCATTCCCAATTATGTTTTAAAGAAAGTGGGCTTTTAAGGAGGCTTCTTAAGGAGGCCTGAGTTAATGTTGCCCGTTTCAGTCAGAGGCTCAACCGAGGGGCTGCATAACAGGCAGTGTGAGATAGGTACAGACTTTTATTTGTGACTTTGACTCATGCAAAGCAGATTGAATATATAGAGCTGGAAATTAACATGATAGTAGATAAAGTCCTGCACTTGCTAAATAAGTTAGGCATTATCATCCTTACTGGTTTTCATTGATAAGGTTGAGCTTATGATTGATGTTACAGTGTTTGCTTCTTGCTGTGTAGCATGGATTCTGATTCAACACACACTGATTTGCACATTTGAGCTGCTGAGTTATGCAGATGCTCATCAGTGCAACATTAGATTTAAATTGAGACGAGTTAAAAACAGTTGTGCACAAGAGAAAGGAAAACACTGCCTGAAATTTTCTCTACTTGTCAGTTGTTTGATTTTCTTGATGCAAGATAAAAGTTTTTTGTGTGTAATGAAATTTTCTGTGATGTTATTTCAGATCATTGAATTTCTGTTAATGTCTTGAACACAGAAACATGATACACCTTCAAAGCTTCGAGGTTGAACCAGCCCCAGTTGTCACACTGTCGCTGAGGGTCTGAGTGGAATAGACAGAGAAGACAGGAGAGAGGGTGTCAGGGAACAAGAGATGGAGCATTTGGGAGAGGAGGAAGAGAGAGGGATGGAGTGTCATGGAAAAGAAGAGAGAGGAAGAGGGATGTAGGAACAAAGAGGGAAACAGCAAGGCCACAGGGCCTGGTTTTGTCCTTTTATGGTCATGACAAACTGAGGAGGAGGAAAGATCGTCCAGATGCTTCTGGAGCAGCAGAGGACAGAGGGAGGGTGGAGAGCCACTCTGGGAAAAGGGTGAAGGAGAAGAAACAGCAGTGTAGGAGATGGAGGGTGTAACTATGATGAGGTGGGAGAAAAGGTAGCAGATGGGGGGGGGGGGCACAGAGCTGGGCAAAACTGAATATGAGTGAGAGATGGCGTCATGAGAGGTGACAGGGGACAGACAAAGAAAAACAGGGAATCGGGTGAGAGCCCCCGTAGTTCCCCCAGGGTCTGAGAGGGTCAGTATCAGGGCAAGAATGTTCCCATGAAATGTAACACCCACCAACCACCCCCACCCCCATATATATGCAGTATATATATATATGTATATATACACACACACACACACACACACACACACACACACAGTAATATATATATATATATATATATAT